TCAGCTCTTCAGCTCAAGGCGAGCGCTCTACCACTTGAGCTACAGCGCCACTTCCGGTTTTCTGGTGGTTTTTATTGGAGATAGGAGTCTCACGGTCTTTCCTGCCCAGGCTGGCTTTGAACCGCAATCCTCAGATCTCAGCCTCCTGAGTAGCTAGGATTACAGGCGTGAGCCACCAGCGCCCGGCATTTCTTTCTTGTCTTAATTCAATGTTTAATTCAATATTAACTCTTCATTAATGGGTCTCATACTTTGATCTCTAACACTATACATTATTTTGAAATGAACTGATTTATACTGCAAATCAAATGACTAATTTTCTTCCCTTTACCTGACTCCATTGGATTCCAACTGTGATTCTCAAATCTTATCCCCCGCTCCCCCCTCCCCCCCAGTAAGCTAGGATTACCAGTGTGAGATGCCAGCCACCCAGCTCAAATGACTAGTACTGATAAAATTAAATGTTTACACTTAGACTTATTGTTTTTACTCCTGCAAAAAAATAGATACCTTTATTTGTACTAAGAAATCCCTCAGATGTTCCTTGAAAGCAGGAATATCTTGATTTAAGCTGAAAAGCCCAGTCACAAAGAGTTTTACTTGAGCACTGCAAATCAAAACACAAAGATTAATCATCCTTAAAAATTGAACATTTAGTTATTTTAAAAGTTTTGATCCCAGAACACCGAAGTAGCAATTTTTAAATTTAAATAATGCGTTTAAAAAATTATTTACTCTTGTAGATGAGGGAATGCAGACTTAAGAAGATTAGCCACATATTCCTGAATAAACATTTGGTTGTTAACTGGATTTCCAGGATTTAATGGTGTACTTATTTTTCCTTCTTCAACCAAATTAAACATATATGCAAGAATCGACGCATGCATTGTTAAACCTGTTGGTGAGAAGAAAATTAATAACCCTAATATGAAATTTAACAATTTAGGACACTTGATATTTCAATTGTTTTAAATCCTTACCAGCAGTATGTGAGGTGTCTGTTACAACAGAAAAGATATGCTGAAGAATATCACAAAAATAAGTCTGATAGAAACTCTGAGCTGCAGCTTCTTCTTGTGCAACATTTTGTAAGAGTGTATAAAGTATCTGTAAGCCTAAAAAAGTTACAAAGATAATTAGACTGATAAACATTCACTAAAGTATTCTCATAATCTAACTCAAAACTTTATGAGCCTTTAATTCGGTGTCTTCACTCCACTTTCTTCTATTAGGCTGATGTTCAACCATCTGAACCAGTCCTCCAGTCCAACCTTTTGCTGGTCTATAGGAGACTGGAGTCTTGCAGACTTCTGCTAGGGTTGGCTTCAATCCTCCAGATCTAAGAATCTAGTAAGGATTACAAGTTGTATCCTATTTGCCTTTTTTGATTAGGACCAATTAATAACCTAAATCTTGAATAAGTTATGGAATACACCTACAATCAATGCCAGTTTAAAAGCTAAGTAATTTATAACCATTACACTACCCTCCTACTACTATTTCTGAAACTTTAGGCAAAACATATATGTATGTTCCCAAACATGCTTTTGTATTGTACTATTATTAACACGTTTTCATTGTTACTACAATTGTACTGGGATGTTCCTTTATATCTATCCCTTGTTAAGTCAGTGCTATAAAGGAAAAGTATATAGGGGACAAAGGAACAATCATTTGAGGATATGGAACTTTAGTAATGTCTGCCCATCATCTTTAATTAATAAGACTTTTCTTAGGGTTGGACATACGTCTCAGTAGAGTGCTGGCCAGTAAGCGAAAGAGTTAGGAACTGAGTTTGAGTCCTGATCTTGGACCATAAAAGAAAATTTATATATGTAGAGAAAGAGAGAGAGAGAGAGAGATTGATTCTATTTTGCCTAGGGACCTGCTCTAGAACACTTGACTGAATTACTTTTAGACATCCACATATAATTCATTTATTCAAAACCATTACAAAAGAAATTATATCAACCAATTTATAAGTGTACAACTACTAATGTGTATATATATAGTAGTTCCCCCCTTCCTATTAGAGAAGGATACTTTCCAAAGCTCTTTGTGAGATCCTAAAATGGAGGACAATATTGAACCAACACATATCTATAAGTTTATAAAGTAGTCACAGGAAAAAAATGATTAACAATAATTGACACAACCAATACTGAAATGCTGGAGCCATAGTTGATTTCATAGAGATATCTAACAAGAAAATAAGTGAGAAGAGGGGTTGAGTTGGGAGGAATGGGAGAATGATGAACGAGGCAATATTGACCAAGAAGAATTATATTTAAACCGATTTGTTGAATGGTAATCCCTTTGTACAACTATGTAAAGATAATAAAGACAAATACAGCATACAAGTGCAGAATAAACAGACTAGGCAAAAGGGTTACATTATGTCTGAGATTTAAGCATGCTACTCAGAATGGTGGAGAATTTTTTTTTT